ATATCACACACCAGAGCAATAGAAGCTCAGATCTACCACACCAGACAAGACCCAAGGTGTAGGTTGTGCAAGGAGGCCTCTGAGACAGTCCAACACATAACAGCAGGGTGCAAGATGCTGGCAGGGAAAGCGTACATGGAACGACATAACGAGCATAGTGTACAGGAACATCTGTGCAGAATATGGACTGGAAGCCCCGAGGTCAAAGTGGGGGACACCCCCAAAGGTGGTGGAGAATGACCGAGCTAAGATCCTGTGGGACTTCCAGATCCAGACAGACAAGATGGTAATGGTAATGGATAAAGAACAGAGGAAAGCCGTTGTGGTGGATGTAGCAATACCAAGTGACCACAACATCAGGAAAAAGGAGCATGAGAAATACCAGGGCCTCAGAGAGGAACTGGAGAAGGCCTGGAAGGTGAAGACCACAGTGGTGCCTGTGGTCATCGGGGCCCTCGGGGCAGTCACCCCCAAACTGGAGCAGTGGCTCAAACAGATCCCAGGAACAACATCAGACATCTCAGTCCAGAAATGTGCAATTCTAGGCACAGCCAAGATACTGCACAGAACCCTCAAGCTCCCAGGCCTCTGGTAGAGGACCCGAGCTCAGAGGATGAAAGAGACCACCCGTGGAGGGTGAGAAGGGATTTTTTTAATTTATTTTTTTATTATTTTTTATTTATTTTTTTTGTTAAGCATAAAATATATCCAGATTCAAGACCAATATTTTCACTTTGGTTTAAAGGATTCATTCCCAGTATTCAGGATTTTACTGTTTCGATCTATGAGGGGAATCTCAGATATGGATTCTTTGTGCAATGACCTTCAGAGAGTTCAGTGTTTGTTCTGATTGAGCAGAAGAAATGTTTTTGCAATCCAAAATATCTAAAATATATTTTTTCAAAAGTTCTTTAATTGGCTCCCCTCAGGTTTTTCATACCCAGGCTTTAACTCTGAGGTGTTAAATTGTTCTGCCTTTGTTTGAACATCGTCTGTGTTGTTTTATAATTATATAATTGTAATTATTATTCCATCTAAGCAGCTGTAAGTTAGAACGTTAAGCGTTCACCTGCTGGATGGTTGTTTGACTGAACTTTCTCTTTGAAATAGCCAAAGAGAGGTCACACCAGATCAAAAATACATAAATACCTATGAAAAAATCCTCACAAATATATTTCACATTTTATATTTTGCATTCTGTTGTTGACCAAAAAGCAAATAATACTGGATTTTAACTTTTAATTTACATGAACTTGTTATGTATGGACAAAATGTGAGCTTCTGCCTAGTTTTTTGGTTTGTTTGTTTATTACCATCATTTATAAGTTCGACATATTAATTATTTTTGCCTCCCTATGTAATGGAAACACTGTATCACTGTTTTAAATCATTTAAAAGCAGAATTTGCCTTCTTTCTTGCTTGTTTTTGTCTTAAATATATTTAATGGAATAATCCTTCTCTGTGCTAACAGAGTAGATCATTAATGCTTTCAGTGACCTGTATAAGAACAATATTTTTTGCCCATATTGAAATATTCTTAAGAAAATAATTGCAGATTAAATAATCATAGCTTGCCTTCATTGATGGTGAGCAGAGCAGCTCTAAATCCTTTTAGGTTGGAACTTCTTCCTCTTTTTTTAGGTTTTATTTGTGCTTTGTGGATGCAGAACAGGATGGCGATCTGCTTCTTCATGTTGAGAGTCTGATTTTTAGGTAGGATCCTGCACTGTCATGGTTCTGATTTCTGATTGGCCAATTAGATTGGTTTGCTGCTCGGAAGCTAAATGAGGTCAGGTGTTTCATGAGCTGGAGCTGAACTCTTTCCAGGATCCTCCTTTAATTTTGAAGGTACAGCAGATAGAAATCACATAAAGTGGAACAGCTTTCTCACAGAGTTTCTGACTATCTGATAAATTCCTAATAAGCACAATGCCGTGAAGAATTAAATAATACAATTAATATTATTTTTAACATTTACCCTTTAATCTCTGTGAGTGTAATATTTTAGTTTGTTAGTCTTATGTCTAAAGAAAGATAATTTCACGTAGTTTAAAACCATCATATGAAAAACAAAGTTTTGGTCTGACAGACCAATGTAAACACAAGAGCTAATGCATCTATTTGCGGACAGGCTTTACGTTACAACAAGATCTGGGTTATGGTCAGATCTTGTTGACCAAGATCAACAAGATCTTGGTCTTGTTGACCAAGGTCAACAAGACTTGATCTGCTTACAGTAGCCTGAAAGCAGATTGTTTCAGGCTACTCAAAAGGTTTAGAATTGGTTAAGGGTCTCACTGATTGTCATCATGCTGATTCAAGTCACTTCAGCTGTATGAACAAATCAAAGTAACTGTTAGGAGTTAGAAAGTGAAGGTGGTTTGTACCTTGGAAACAATTCCAGACCACTGGAGTGTTGGAAGTGAAACAGTGTTCTCCAGGTAAGACCAGAACAAACTACAAAGAAACCAGCATTGGTGCAAAACCAATTCTTTTGTTCTAGTCACTGTACACAGAGGTTCTACACATTGTTCGCCCAATGTCTAGTTTTAATTTAATCGCATTGTGTCTGGTCTATTTCTTGCTAGAGGTTAGCGGAGTCTGCAGAAGATGCTGACCTGTACCATGAATACAACAGTTCACTGCAGGTCAGTGGATCCTCCTCTTTGTTATCACACAGATCTGTCTGTCTGCTTGTCAGTCTGTCTATTTATCTAAAATCCTTGTTTTTCAAGCGAGGGAGATGCTGTTCCACACACCACTGCCCACACCAAAAACTGTTTTTCATTGATAGACTCAACTTGGCAAATTTTTCATGTAAACAAAAACCTATTTACTGCTCAACCCACGAATGCATTTTCCTTTAAAATGTGTTGCCATTTAAATGGGAAAAGTGACAAGTGTGTGTGTGTGTGTGTGTGTGTGTGTCTGTGTGTGTGTGTGTGTGTGTGTGTGCGCATGTGTGTGTGCGTGCATGCGTGTGTGTGTGTGTGTACATAAATATTAGCGTGTGTGAGTGTGTGTCTTTCTAATTTGTTAGAGGTATAATTGGCTTGCACTGTTAGATAACGGATAATGCTGACTGTGAGTGAACTGGAGGTAACAGCAGGCTGGTTTGGAGTTGGGGCAGCAGCACGCAGGAGCTTTACGACTTCAGCTGACACCTGAAATTAGATTACATCAACTTTAGCTCGCTGTGAGGAAACTGGGTCAACACCAATGCAAGAAATCTTTGCTAAAAAAAAATCCTATATGAATCCATTAACATAACCAATTTCTGCTGGTTGCTACAAAAACGAAAATAGCAAAAATAAATAAATAAATAAAATGTTTAAAGACATGCATGTCATGAATATAGAAGAACTAAAGATTCACGATGCCCTTTGTGTTCTTTGGGCAGATATTCATCTTTTCTGAAGTTACCCATCTGACTTTGAATGTAATGTTACTCTAATTTGGCCCAACATGAAGAACTAATCGGCCCATAAACCTATGAACTGGTTGTGCCACCTTTGCCTTTAACACCTGCCATTCAGTGTTTGCAATGACTGACATCAAGTTTTTCTATCTCTTTGGAGTAGCACAGGTCTTCTCTTCTTCATGAAACTGTTTTATATCTGCCAATGTGGAAGGTTTTAAAGAATGTTTGGAGAGTTTAAAGTCATGACACAGATTTAAGTTCAGAGGTTCACTAGACAACTCCAAATCCAAAATATACTTTTCTTTTCCATCAGTTCTGACAAGGGCGTCCAAGTACATAGCACCATAGCTACCCTATGGACCATCACCATCACACTAGACCATCACACTAGTAACATCTTGTTTGTGAGCATAATGTTATCTTTGTCTGTTTGATGATAGGTAATATTGAAGTGTGATTAAAAGAAGCAATAACAGAACTTTTTTATGTATCTACACCAAAGACCCTGTCTACAATAGTGTCTTTGGGTATATAGCTATTCTTTGTCATTTAACCAAAAGATGAACTACATCTAATTCATCTGGAAAAACCTTTAAATTTTTTTGTACTTCCCCGAATTCCAAGATCCCTTTTCTGTGTTGGTGAATATCAACACAGAAAGGTTGTTTACATAGGTAAACAACCTTCCTAATCTGCCAGAGTACAGCTCCTCCCACTGATGTCAGATCACATATTTTATCCTGTTTTCATTTAAAGAAATATATATATAGAAATGAGAAAATGTTAAACATACAGAGCATTTCTGAATTTTTGATTTAAGGTCCACATTGAGTCCTTTTCATTTGCTGTCCCAGTTTTTTGCTGATTCTGTTTTCAGAGAACAGACAGACAGCACTGACATGCAGCAATGATTGGTATTGAATAGTTTAATTCCCTTTTACTGTCTCTCAGTTTGATTATTACAACTCCATGCTGATCAACACGATGGATGAAGATGGAAACTCTGTGGAGCTGGGCGGAGAGTTTCCGCTTGAAGAAAACGAACATTTTAACAACCTGCCTGTGAATACGCAACAGAGCACCATCCAGGTTCCCACCAATGTCTACAACAAAGGTTGTGAGGAGGATCACATCACACAACTGCTTGTGGAAGTAAAATTGCCCAAATCTTTCTCATAATTTTGTCATTTTCCCAAGCAGATCCCAAATTGCTTAATGCCATCTACAACTCTGAGGCTTTGAATGATGTCTACATTAACAACTTTCTGAGAGATCCCACACTTACTTGGCAGTACTTTGGCAGTTCCTATGGCTTTTTTAGAATCTACCCTGGTAAGTTTATCTTGACCTTTCTTATGTTCCTGTTTTTAAGTATAGTAAACTGCAAATTTATTTTAATAAATTTCTTCTATGTTTGTTTGTGCCTGTTTTTGATGTGGGAACCTGATGTGATAACATCAGGTTCAAAGAAGCTCTTTCTGAAACATATGTTTCTTTAAAAGTTTTACAAATGTATTTTTTTTAGCACATTTTAAAGCATCAGCATTTGACCAAAGTGCTTCGCAACAATCACGACAAGCATAAAACAGTACATAGAATAAAACTAGAATAATGTGAAAAAAACAAAGAATTAGGACTTCTAAGAACTTTTTTTAATCAGTTAAAAAAAAGAGTTTTTAATTAACATTGGAAGGAGCGCACACTCTAAGCACTGAGAACGTGTAAAGGAATGTTTAATTTCTTCTACGTTTTAATTTCATCTTGAGATATGAAGGAGAAACTGGTTGGTTTACCAAAGTCTTCCCTAAGGTGTGTGGATGTTAGGAAGATGCCAAGATATAGATGAAGCTGTTTTAGATGATAATGTCAACAAAAGCTTTGTTAGAGGTACTATCATATAGATAGGAAACAAACTAAATTCTGAAGGATGCCACATATGAGATGAGTGAATGCTACAAGCAGACACTACAACACTAATGATTGAGAGCAACTTAAAAATGTATCTGCAACATCTGCAACAGTGAAGTAATAAACCTCCCTGATGACATGTTATTGTTATGTTATTAATGCAGTTATTAGTTTCATGGTCACAGCCAGCCCAGTCATGTTTGAGTTCTCCGATTGAGATCCATTTCTCAGATGCAAACTGTCAAACACACAACTCTTCATTCTAATCATGCAATGCTCCGTTCTTATCATTCAAATCTCCACTTCATTCTAGAACAAATTAACGCAGAAACATTTTCATGAGCTACTAAATAGTGGTGCAACTTAAGAAACCAGTGTGCCCCCCTCTATTATTCTTTAGTTTAAACTGTAGTTGTAACAGCATTGGAGTGAACCTGGCAAATAGAGCTGAAAAATTAGGAAAATGTTTACCAAAATTTCTAAAAACACAGATACATGTTTGCTCTTCAAAAAACATGCTTTATATGCACCAAATCTATGTTTGGTTTAAAAACTTCCCATGTCATATAAAATAATCCACTGTTTCCCTGAGTAGTAATACCTATTTGTATCAATGTCAAATTGAAAGGAAAATGGAAGCGCTCATGAACACATTAATAAGACAATTAGCTTAATAGCTAGCACTTATTTATACGGTTATCTTGTTGACTATTTAACAAAAAAAGAAAATAAATTATACATTTAAGTCATATGTTTTCTTAATTAGAAAATATATTAATTAAGGCAGAACTGTACCTTCCTTATTGGTTTTGCCCTAATTAAGGAAGTTGAAATATTTTCACCTTGTAAGTGGTCATATTTTAATCTCATTTTGCAGCAGTTTTGAGTGATATGAGTCTCAGGTAATTTTCTTAGCATTGGTATCAGATTATTGTTTTTTAATTGTGACAACCTTCGTGACTGTAAACTTCCTCTTTCAGGTATTAAATGGACTCCTGACAACAATGGTGTGGTAGCTTTTGACAGCAGAAACAGAAATTGGTGAGTACTGTCCAGTTCTCAGAGCACACTGAAGTCAACATTAGATGTGTATTTTCATATGTTTTGAATCTCTTATTATTTTTTGTGACCTGTTGTCTCTGGAGTAAATGTGGAGAATTAATTTTGGACATTGAGTGATTCTCAGGCCACTCAATGGCCAAAATCTGATGTAATAGAGCACATCAGTCTATTGACGTGAGTCAATAGACTGATGTGCTCTAATAGATTCTCTGATTCACTGACTCCACATTAGTTACTTTACTCTTTCGACTTCTTTTTTACTAGACATGGTCTTTTTCTGCTTACTCATGAGATAAATAAACTACACATGCAGAATAATAAAGTCATGGGAATTTATTGTTCTTTCAATATTTAACACCAGATCACTGTGTTGCATGGCGTATATTTTTTTAGTTAATTGTTTTTTAGCAAGCAGGAATAACTCTGCTCTGTAGAGTTCTGGTCAGACAGAGACCTGGTTCCCTTGAGTGAGTAAACTGAACGGCGACCTGGACCTGTGATCCTCTCTAAAAGACGTTAAGCTGTTTCCTCAGCCAGGTCACTGCAGCCGACATGGCACCATATGTGACTGTTCATGCGCTCTAAATAATACCAGAGAACTGTATGTCCCTGAACATTTCTCCACAAAGCAAGTTTTCACCTGAGACCCCAGACACTGCTAGATCTATGAAAATGTGTTATGAATAAAAAATGTGAGAATACATTTTTACTTAAATAATTAACACTAGGGTCCTGATATTGATCTAAATGTGTCTTTTGCTCTACTGTTTCACAGGTACATCCAGGCAGCTACATCTCCCAAGGATATTATCATCATGGTGGATATCAGTGGCAGCATGAAGGGATTAAAGATGACCATAGCCAAACACACCATTAACACCATCCTGGACACACTAGGAGAGAATGATTTTGTCAATGTCATTGCTGTGAGATGCATTTTTAACAAGTCTCCTTATTCACAAACACACTGCTACTTTGCAAGTGATTGATTAGATGCGCTTACTCAGTTACATTTGTTTTCTTTATTTATGTCACACCCTGTTTGTCTAGGATGTAACATAAGTGTTACACCCCCACAGTTCATAAGTGGGGGCTTGTCTGGGATATTTTTGTTGAACATGACAAAGTTTATTCTGAAAATTTTGTGGCAGACCCTACTATTGAACAAGTTATTGACTGTAGGAAGGGTGATCTGTTTGACATTACTGATCATTATGAAATACCTGTGTTGAAATCATTACTTAAGAAAGACCTTAAATCTGTTGTTTTAAAAGGATGATCTGACAAAGGAGTGTAATTTGTTTGCCATTTCTTCTGCAAAAAGCTAACAATTTTAATCTTTTCTAGAACCAACAACAAATAAAATTTGAATTTGTGTTTCTATTATTGATACTTTCTTAGTTAGAAGGGGTGGGACAAATTGATCCTTCAATTTTGTGCTTATACCACCATACCACTATTGTGTATCAGACTTTTATTGCAGAAGTGTTGGAAACGTGAGATCATAGTAAAATACTGTTCACATATTGTCAGTTTGCATACATAATTTGATCACTAAACAAACCAGGTTAGCTAAATGTAGTTTTTGGACATACTAAAAAATTATATCATAGCAGCACCACAAGTCCCCACACATGTATACCTCATACGTAGACCATTGTTACAAAATCACCACAATTGTGATATAAAAACCGCAACATTACATCCAGACATTTGTCTCACCTCAAAATACTTGATCCTTGACACTCAAAGTTAATATGGCTATTTTTTTCTGACCATATAGAGCATTGAAATGAAGTTTTCACACAATCAACTGATCCTTTAAGACATAAGACTGCTCTGTCACAAAAAAAGAAACACGATTTGTCCTGATACAACAGAATCCTGCAAATTCCAGTGAACTGATATCAATTCAAAGGGACCTAATGTGTTCTTTCACATGTGCACATCATAACAGGAGTGAGTCAGAAGTGGTACATATGCTATAAAGCCTCAGCAGGAGCCTCTAGTCTCACATGTGCTTTCTGAATGTACTTTTTCTTTTGTCTGCCTCTCTGTAGTACACTGACTATGTTCGCTATGTGGAGCCATGTTTCAGAGGAACATTGGTGCAGGCTGACTTGGACAACAGGGAGGTAAGATAATTATCATCTTCTTTAGAGAGATTAAAGAGCTGAGCATGCATCTCAGCTGACATTTAACACACACACACAACTTCTAACATTAATTTCATGGCCTGCTTCTAATGCCACTACACTATGCTAATACACTAGGTTAGAGTGTAATTTGACCTTCAGGGGATGGGGCATTCTCAGTGGTAATTAGGTGAAAGGTGGGTTACATCCTAGATAGCTCAACAGTCCATCTAAGGGCAACTCAGAGACACAAGGGACAAACATCCAGACTTACAGAAACCATCAGTTATTTGGGCACTTAGAGAGACAAATTGAGCTAACATGTCTATATATAGAATGTAGGAGGAAACTGGAATATCTGAAGAGAACCCACTCACTCCTTTTTCTGGAAGCCTATTACTGTGGTTAGTAGCCTCTTATGCCTCGTTTCCACAGAGAGTTAAGGTACAGGTCAGTTCTGTATGCTAGTTAGTCTATTTCTGTTGTAAAAGTGACTTGTATATAGCTAACCCAAACTGCAACAAGCTCAAGGCATTGTAGTGCATCACAATTGTTGTCACACTCGTATGATGCCACGTTGGACGTATCTTTTTAACTCAGGTTGATACCAACTAGTGTTGGAATTGATTTTGTGGCCATAAAATAGCATCAGAATCGCAGCGCCCCATGGTGCTTCTCAGTGCAAACAAGGTAATACTGTAATAGTATAAAGATTATCATACACAATGTCTTCATCACTAAAACAGAGACTGAATAAAACAGAAGAGCACAAGTATCTTTCCTTGTTAGAACAGAAGTGACAAATGTGTGTTTTACCATCACAACTGTTTTTGTACAGTTTCTGCCATGTGGCCAGAATTCTGTAAGTGTTGCATCTGGTGTAATAGAGTTTGCCATTTCTCTTTCAGCACTTTAAGCTGCTGGTGGAGGAGTTGCATGTTAAAGGAGAAGCAAAAATAAAGAATGCCATGAAGGAGTCTTTTAAGATCCTAAATGAGGTTTGTTTATTTTTGGCTTGATGGGTTGGAAGTCAATTTTACTGTTTTGCTGTTTTTCAATAATCATTCAGAAAAGAATACCTTGAATCTGGGAAGGAGTTTTACTGATCATCATCTTTTTTTCCCATCTGTATGTTTGTCTACAGGCGAGGATGAATGGTCAGGGCAGCATGTGTAACCAGGCCATCATGCTAATCACAGATGGAGCCATGGAGGACTTTGAATCTGTCTTTGAAGAATTTAACTGGCCAGAGCGCAGGGTGAGGAATAAGAAGGAATTCAATAATGTTCTTACCAATATGATTTTAGCATCAAGGTTTCCATCTTCCCCTAGAGACTGTTGTTCATTAGCCTGGTAAAAGACAGCCTCTTGTTCTACTCTTTACTGGACCTTTGGCTATTGAGAAATTATTGCATGCTGGAGGCAAGAACTCTGTTGAAGTTTTAAACGGCTGAATCAGATTTTACCAATTGCTAATGTTTGGCTATGACCTATGTATTGCACCAACTTGATTATGATGGATACTATGTTATGAAGCTTACCGGAAATTGATGAAAATTTAAATGCTGTAAACAACCCCCTCACCACCACCTCCTGCAAAGAGACACATGCTGAGTTGAACAACATCTTTGCATTATCATCTAAAATATCTTAAAGACTCTTGCTCTGATTTAATTGCTCATTATTTGGAAGCGAATGGCCAACACAGACTGAATGACTTCATTCACTTCCTCTGCTGCCTCTGCCAAACTAGGCTAAATACATTTCTAAAACAGAATTGTCTGCACATCTTACCAGTTTTGAGGTCAGGACCATTCCATAAACCTGATGGCCGTCTCCTTTATTTATTCCAAAATCTGTTTTGATATGTACCTGGAATCAGTGTCACCACTGTCCAAGCTCATCCAGTTAACCCATATTAATATTAAATCAGATCCAGTAAAAGGTAATTTCAAGGGTCAGGCATGGCAGGTTCTATATTTGCCTTTGACTTTCCCTCTGTATGGTGTTTTTTTTAATGCTGGGGCTAAAGTTCTGTTTCAGCATGGTGTCTGAAATTACTCATGTTTTACCTTTTCAGAACATCAGTGAATGGATTTTCAGATTTCTATTTGTAAAAAAAAAAGTTAAGTGATGTATTTTCTTTCCTACTTTACAATTATTCACAACTTTATGTTGATCTATCACATAAAATGCATCCAACTTCAAGTTAACAATGTGCAAAATAGGAAAATATTTATTGTATGTTCATAAAGTTCTACGTTTGTGACAATAAAAGGCTCACTGATGGTTTCCAACTCGTCCAACAGAGCATAAACATTGTTTGCATTTAGAAAAGATCACTGACCTGGATTTTTATGGATGAGGTGTTTTCCCTAAACCCTCTCATCTGGCTTCTCTCGCAATACTGAACTGTACTTTTTATGTGAGCATGATTCTTTCTACCAATTGAAAACATCTTCAGTACAACATTTAATAATTTGTCAACATTGTATATAACACACCTTTCCATTAACATGATTCTCTGTTTAGGTTCGAGTGTTCACCTACCTGATTGGTAGAGAGATGACATTTGCTCAAGCAACCAAGTGGATCGCTTGCAACAACAAGGGTCAGTCCAGTATGTGTGTGTGTGTGTGTGTGTGTGTGTGTGTGGGTGGGTGGGTGTGTGTGTGTGTGTTGCTCTGAATGGGCAGAGTCATAAAGACTATGATCTTGTGGTTTCGTCAGGTTACTACACACACATCTCAACTCTGGCTGACGTTCAGGAGAATGTCATGGAATATCTGCATGTGCTCAGTCGACCAATGGTTATCAACCACGACCATGACATCATCTGGACAGAAGCCTACATGGACACAGTGGTAAGATGACCCGTCCACATTGCAGCACAATCACTTGAGTGTCCTTTCCCCGAACATGCTGCACATTGCTCATCATCTTCATTTTCATTTTCTTCATGTCTGTATCTTCATGTCCATCTGTCTTTTCCTTAAACTGTATTTGGACTCATTCTCCCATGAACCTGTTGGCCATGCAACCCACTCTGGCAGCTTCCCAACACAAAGGAGGTAAAAAATAAAATAAAATAAAATAAAATAAATAAATAAATAAATAAATAAATATAAAGAATAATACAACCTTTTTACTGTGAGATGAAAGTTGACCGTTTCTGGCATATTTATTTCTTTAAGTTCTTTTTTTCAGCTCTGGCCAAATATTTGATACTATTGAAAACTTTGTGCTCATAGTTAATTTCTTCCATTATGGTAGGAGCCAAATATTTTATCAACATGCTTATTATGTTATTAGTTACTGTCTGCTAGTAAAGTTCCCACAGTCTGGATTCAAAGCATTCGGTCAGGGTAATCTTGCGCAGCACAAACTTCAGCTGAAAAGAACTGCAGAAAACAGGGACATAATCTGACATTCTTCACACTACTGGCTGAGATTGGCAGTGTTGTCAACATGCATTTAAAATGTCCTTTATTTTACACAAAGAAATTCAGCTTCATAATGCCATCTGGTCAATCAGTTTTCTGCTGTCTGAAATTATATTTTTTTGTAAATGCCTTGTTTTGAATATGTACATATACAAACTGAATTGAATTAATGAGGAACCATGTTCTTTATCTTTTAGCTTTTCTACACCAAAGCTCAGAGTTTGCTGCTGATGACTTCAGTGGCCATGCCAGTTTTCAGCAAGAAGAAGGAAACAGTCAGTTCAACAACTCGCCCTATGATATTCTCTGAAAGTCAGATATATATTTATTTGTTCAGATACAATATTTAATCCACATTTATGTCTAAATTATAATGGGACAACTCTCTGAACAATTGATTTGTGAGGTTTATCATACATGGCTGAAAGACATTTTTTTTTTCATTTTCAACATAAAAAAACATAAAAATTATGAAAAACAATATGTGGACATTACCCACAATAGTAATCATGTAAAGTAGGTGTAAAACCAATCAGTGAATACAATAAATAAGAAAGATAATATTACAAATTCTTAAAAGATGTTCAAGTTATTGCTTTGCACACATTCAAACATGATTGAGAATTTATACCAACGTCCAACCCAAAATAGAAACAAATCCGAAACAAAAAATCAGCTTTGATCTAGTTAATAGTTTTCATAGTGGAAAATATTCATATATTAACAGAAGACATTTAAACAGTAACATTACCAGAGAAAGGAATAACTGAATCACTGAAACATGACGTTAAGAGAGGTTGTGTGTAAACTCTGCCTTCATGATGCTGCCTGTCTTCAGCTGTCGCATGGCATCCTGCTGGGTGTGGTTGGCACTGATGTTCCCCTCATGGAGGTGATGAAGCTGGCGCCGAGATACATAGTGAGGCCGAGTATTCTTCACTTCTCCAGCTTTTCAAAACTTTAATTCACACACTTGTGAATAAAGCTGACAGCAGTATTTTGTGTTTTATCAGCTGGGACCGCATGGCTACGCCTTCCTCCTCAACAACAATGGTTACATCCTGGCTCATCCTGACCTCCGACCTCTGGTGAGTACAGCTTCTGAATACTTTCTTTTCTGCCGCAGTGATGGATAAAGCAGAGCTGCTGAGCATCAAACTAAATCCAAACTTAGTGTTCAGCAATAGAAAGATGTAAGAAACTGGCAGTCACTGTCACTGACTGCTTAGCAACAGAACAGACTTTAAGTCATCCTTAAAATCCTCTTCAATTAGTGGCCAAAGATCAGAACAGGTCAGACATAATATTTTAGTTTATTTTTTTCTAAAAGCAGAACATTATTACCTTTTTTTTACTTTATGCTGACAAAGGATATTCATGACAACAAACTCCAACACTCGATAAAGAGGCGTGTTTATCCAAATGTTAGAGGGATTTAAAGTGATTATATTAACGTGTAGACAATGGAAACAAAAGTATGCTTGTATATTATTCACTAGATCAATTTTGATGGAAAATATAGAACAGTAAGTTATTCAGTAACACAATTTTTAAGAAGGGAAAAGTTGAAAGATGCACAAAGAATTTAACAAAAAAGTAGAAAAAATGATACAGAAGGAAATGAAAAGGAATGCTCTGAACATTCTCTGTATGCTCTGAACTCATATACCACACATTAACATAACCCAATAACATATACGTACACATATATAGTTAGCACAAAATTAGAGTAATTTGTGTTTAGTCTATCACTTTCTTATATCAATTCTTCTATAAATAAATCTTTACAAAATCAACTGGTGCCATAGATTAAGTTCCTTTGCCCATGTCAGGCAGTTTATTTTGTTATTGACTCTGATTTTTTTGTCCTGGGTGAGTGAAGTCTGGCCAGCCCTTTGAATATTTTAGCAGGGACCCCAGCTCAGATACACAGTAACAGTGCTCCTCTGTCCTACAGTATAAAGACGGTAAGAAGCTAAAGCCAAAGCCAAACTACAACAGTGTGGATCTGTCAGAGGTGGAGTGGGAGGACACAGAGGAGATGGTAAACACACACAGGATTAAGACTAAAATGGCTGCAATTTAAATCTGAATGTATTCAACAGTAAAGACTCAATAGATTGAGTCTGTGGACCTGATTTAGTTATGTGAAGAATCTGTTTGCACTATTATTGTCTGCCCTACTGACTGTAGGGCAGACGGATATTTGCTTAGTAATTGTTCATGTGGATGCAAATGTTGTGCTTTGGTATTGTTCACTTCTATCTAGTCTAATTTTGTATTTGTATTCTTACAGCTGAGGACACCTATGGTGAACGGAGAGACAGGCAGCATGACCCTGAACATCAGAGCTTCTGTGGATAAAGGGGTGAGAAAGTTCTGTACAACAAAAGCTTCTTATTCCATCCTGCTTAGAGTTGACTGTAGTCGATTAAAATGTGTTATATTAATAACTCCTGCTCACCCACAGTGTCTGTTTTTACCAGAACTGTTGTTGTAACTCGGTTCATGTAAAAACTGGAGCTAAAAACTGGGCGTCTCACAGGCAGGAAGTAGTAGTGATATTATTCTGACTGCTGACTGTGCTCAGGGAAATCATCATAAACTGGAAGATTAATAGACAGGTTTGGTTTACGTTAATAAGTTAACCCACAATTCAGTTTATCTTAAAATTAAATATTAAATCACATCAATAAGAAAGGATTTTTAACACAGAAATGTATGTTCACTGTATGTATCTGGAATCAGTTCTTCATCAAGGCTGCTTCTGTTTTAATCATTGCTTGTCAGGTTTATGCTAAGTTTTGTTTGTCTGAAAAGAGAACAGTCTGCCACTGAGCAGCAGTCCACAGTCCTTTTTTATGTATCCCAGCTGAGATGCTTCCAGCATTGTCTCTGTGTCAAGACTGGTTTAACAATGTTGCTTTTATCCCTGTTTCTTGTCCTCGCCTTTTTCTACCGCGCAACTTCCACACTTTGAAAAGCTGACTTCTTTGAGCAGAGCCTTCCCCATAAGACAACCTTAAAATAAAATGTATAGATTTCAAACCTCAGATTCTTAGAGCTGCCACCCAGGAAAAATAAAAGCAGAACTATATTGAGTTAAACGTGAAAACCTTTTGTTATTTCTTCACTTACATGCTTTTCTATTGATCCTTTGCAATATTATAATATTCTGATAATTTTCAAAGCTAACAGAACTAACTGGTTGACGTACTGTGTTTGATGAATCTATATAAGTGTGAGAGTTTGAATTGAATTCCTGAAATAATGTTTTGATGTTATTCTGATTTATTGACATGTATCATGTTCTAAACATGCTATGGGCAATTTGATTACAATTTCTGTTTTGAATATTGCATGATCAGATGTGTTTTTATTCAACAGAAAAGACCAATGTACCTCACCAACAACTACTTCTACACAGACATTGCTGAAACGCCTTTCAGGTATAACACAGTTCATCTTTTCGTTTTTTCATGCTGTATATATGTTGGATTCAATGCTCTTATTTTCTTTTGTTTGTTTCAACAATTTCCATATACTTCAATATATACAAATGGGAAAGATGTGCTGAAATGAATGTTCTTTTTGTGGCTTGTGTTCTTCAATAACATCAGTGGAATCTACCAGTTGTTTATTCAGTATAAAGTTTACCTTTGTCCCTGTCTTTTCCCGTTAGCTTTGGCCTGGTGCTGACCAAGGGTCACGGCAGTCTGATGTTTACAGGAAATGTATCAGTGGAAGAAGGTAGGATTTTCGGTTATGTTCTACACACCAGCAATATTTTATCTTGTCATTATAAGAAATCAAACAATATGTTCAACTCAGTTGGATTATCTGACAGTTCTCTTGAATGCTGTAATTAATGCAGAGTGAATGAAACATCAACACTCTTGCTCTTCAACTGACATCAACTCCTGTGATTTATTTTACTGACTTACATATTTTTACTTTCCAATATAGGTCTGCATGATATGACCTCCCCTGACCTAAGCCTCGCCTCTGAGTGGTACGTCTGAAATGCGAACTGACATTTAGAGTAAATCAAGATAATTTATAGACCTTCTAACTCCATTTAGTGACAGACAAACAGCTGTTAAAATTACCCCCAAAACAACTCTAAATTATGCAGATGTTGTTAAATTGTATTTTACAGCAATGGTACAACAACATATTTACATTTATATATTTGAAACAAAATTACTGAAAATATGGAATAAAAGTTTTTCAGTGCCACTTATCATGTCAGTGAAAAATGTTTTTCATACATTTTCCAATGCAAGAAAAATGGAATATTTCCATTGTTAGCTGCTTATATTCAATATATAATTTGCATGTTAAAGTTGGAGATGATTTTGCATTACAGATGTTTAAGAACTTTTGGAGTCAAGTGAAATGCTACAATAGCAATTTAAACAAGTTACTTTCTTAATGTTAAAATGCAAACATACCTTAGGAAATTATTATAATGTGCACTGAATTGTTTTCGTTGTCCATATGCTTTTCTTTATCTATCGTTTCATTTACTGGATGTTGATTGCCCAGCTGCTGTGCATTCTGCACATATGTGCTTTAACACCTGCTGCGCACTTCACGCCTCGGTGGGGAGTGTTACAGAAAAGCTCCATTCTGAGAGCTTGTTTCAAAAGCTCTGATCACTGGTGACGTGTTAACAATCAGCTGGACCTCAACAAAAATGTTCTGATTTCACTGAAAACCAGGCCTGTGTGAACAGAGCCTGTGCTACATGAGCTCAGACCTGGGGTGGGATATTGAGCATAGCCATCCAAAATGAGTGTAGAAATGACTGTTCTTCCTCTCCTTCACCAGTGGGAGCTGTAGGAATCACCAAATCAGGCTTCCAACTGGATCAACGGTCCTTTGCTTTGTTTATCCAACTGTCAAAATCTTTTCTTCTACAGGACTTACTGTGAGACAGACATCGACCCAGATCACCGAAAATACACCCAGCATCAAGCGGTCATCAGATACCTACAGGGGAAGGAGCCTGACCTGGAGTGTAGGTTTTACCTTCTCACAAAAACATCTTAACATTATTTCAGTAAATTTTTCCAGTTTGCAGAATGACGTGCTTCTATTTGATTCCACATTTGTTTTGGCTTTAGGTGATGAATTGTTGCTCCAGCAGATATTGTTTGACGCCGTGGTAACAGCCCCACTGGAGGCTTATTGGAACTCAGTGATGCTTAATGACAGGTGAGACCACTGAAACTGAATCACGTGTGAGCTCACAACTGGACTATAATCTGCTGCTGTAATTTAAGTTCTCTGGTAGGAATATGTATGTGTCATGCCTGTCTAATGTATTGTGGCGTGGTGTGCAGGGTGGAGCCGGGGGTCGAGACAGCTTTTCTTGGGACTCGCTCGGGCCTGATGAGGTTAATGAGATATGCAGGAACGGAGACCAGAGTGGCAAAGTAAGGATGAGGACACCGACTCAAGTCATAGTCTGTCTCTGTAGCAGAAAGTAAATCTCACTTACATAACAGAATGTGTAGATAACGCATCACACTGGTGGGTCTCAATAAATTAGAATATTATCAAAAAGTTTGTTTATTTTCATAGTTCAGTTCAATAAATGAACACGGTGTATAGATTAAACTTTTATTTCAGTTAATTATGATGATTTTCCTCTAAAAAAAACTACGAGAAACATGACATTAATTTATTAGAATAAAAAGTATGTTTAATGCCAAGTTAAAGGTTTTTTTAATATGTACTTTTAGTGTAGTAAACAGATTAGAGGTATATATGTTTTATTCTGATGTACTTTTATCTGAACAAATCTGATGTTTAGTGACGTTCAAAATCACTATCACTAAAAATGATAAAAATCACTTTTCAGTTGATTTTGTTCAAAACACACAAATTAAAATTTGATCTAAAGTTAAATTTATCGCTTACAGAAAATTCCTGACTCCATTGGACAAAAACAACCTGTTCACCATCGACCATTTCCCCCTTTGGTATCGCCTGGCCGTGGAAAACACTCCTGGGAGATTTTTCTACTACGCTGTTAATGACAAAGGTCTACACTCTTATATCTCTTAACCAAACATATTTGGTTTGTATTCTTTGCAAATAACCAATCAGAAAATATATGAGTTTATTGAAAGTGATTGTTCTCCTAACAGGAGTGAAGTATGTTATAGCAACAACAGCTGTCACCGTGTCATCTGGAGACAAAATGGCCATGGCTGGAGGTCAGTGTCACTGCTATAGTCCTGATCTGCTTTCTGGAGAATGTCATGTCAAATGCATTTTCTCTTTTCCTGGAGATTTTCCTGATGTTGCCTGGTCTGTGGTACTTACGCTGACCACTAACAGTGGTACGGATTGATCAGGATAAAGGAAATTAAAAAAAACATATCGTCACCTTACTAAAAATAATCCTAAGTCAATTTTTTTGCCAAAAGTATTTATTTATTTATTTATTTATTTATTTATTTATTTATTGCCTAAATAAATCACTTTTGACAAAAAATGACTTATTTTAGGAAAAATGTCAAATTTAACTCAAATCTACTGATGCTTCTGATATATTTTTATTTACAAACAAAAAAAAAACAAATTGAGACATAATTCAGAATATGTCGCCTGCAGCTACAGAATATTAGTTGGTGGGATTTAACTGATCTTGTTGATGGGGGATTACAATATAAACCCTCTCTGGAGCAGCTGGAGAAGGATCAATTCAGTCCCTGACAGATCAGTCACTACAGAGGATCACTAATGTCAACTTGCCACATTTTAATGATATAAAAAAACAAATCCTTCCAAATCTAGCATTCTGTATAACTCAGCTGAAAACTTAAAAAAAAAAAAAAAGTATTAATCTGGCTGCTAAAATGTACATAGTCTTAAACCACTATTTCATGTTTTGCTTGATTTCACCACTCTGAACATCACACCACATATTATTTTACAGTAAATCTAATGAAACTTCAGGGTGTGCATAAGAATGACATGACACTGTCATAAACATGACATGACATCTGTTATGAAGAGGAAGGAATCATCATGAATCTTTACGACTGTTGTCATGACATATCATTTGGTAAATAATGACACTTTTCATTCAAAGTTACATTAAATTTTGCATTAAAAGTTCATTAAATGTGTCAACTTTGCTTGAAAAGTGTCATTATTTACCAAATGACACGTCATGACAACAGTTATAAACATTCATGAAGACTCCTTCATCTTCTTGTTATGTCATGTTTATGACAGTTTCATGTGTCTTATGCGCATGTGACCGGTGGACTTCTGCGTTGTGTGTGTTATGTGATGATCAGACAAACCACAAGACATCAAGTCTGGGTTTGGAGGCGGTCTCCGTTTATTTAATCTGTCAATCGGGAGATATTAGCATTAGCACCTAGCATGTGCTCCAACCTGATCTATACAAAATAACAGTGTCAGCATGCATCAAATGTTATAAAGGCGTAATAGCAACTCAAATGAAAATATCCAAACAGTTATTAATACAGAAGGAAAAATAAACATTTGAACAATATAAATTAAAGGATTACAATGGATTATAAAACTTGCCTCTCCCCAGTGGAACGAATAACAAAAGGGAAAAGGAAATTAATAACTTAATATTTATAAATAGTCCTGGAGGACCCTGAACAAAAGAAGAAGAAAATAAGGCAGAGTTGGAGGACCAAACCCCTTATAGTAGACTCAGAGGAACACAAGAACAGTCAAGTATAAGCGGACAAATACATGAAAGGACACATTTTGTGTAAATATACAATTATTAATATAGACCCAGTTACACACACACTGTCAAATAAATTGTAACCATTTTTTCTAATTTGTTAAAGCTTTAGTGTTGAACCACTGCGACCTTTATGTGTGTTCCTGTTTTGATAATAATAATGATAATTCTGATAATGATCAGAAATTTTCCTACTGCGGTGTAAGTAAAGGACATTTGTAAAAATTCTGACCCATCTGTCAACACAGCAGGGATCCTTGAGATAGATATTACGAGAAGAAATCAGGAAAGCATAATGCCCCAGGTTTATAAATAAAACCTACCTCAGATGATTCACAACTTACACATTTTTTAAGGGATTCAATTGGGAATCACAGCAGATGCTGTCATTGTGATGTAATTTAGCCAAAAACTGAACTTTGTGAAGTTATTTTGAAAAACAAAATACTGCTGAGAGAAATGAATTGCTATCCTTAGCTTGATGAGCAGAGCAACTGAGGTTGAGATAATGTTTCAAACAAATTCATTCCTCATAAGAGAAAAACTTCCAGACAAATTCTTGATTATTAAGGATTGGTCATGTGACATCCTCACGTGTTTATGCAGCAGTTGATTTTTAAAATGAGAGTTGCCATAAATGTTGCACCTTGACAGAAGGGGTTTGTAGTTCAGAGCTTCTCCTCTAGGTAGCAGCAGAAGTCTGGAATTATTTAGCTGTAGTTGTTACATTAAAGCTTAAAGCTGGAGTCTCTCATATATCTCAGTCTCAGTCATTGTCTGTCCTGAGAAGGTATGATAGAAAAATACTAAATTAACATAATTTACAAGTTGTCAAATATGAAACAGACATGACTGTTGGGAAACTAATTTGCATTGCTGTGCATCTTAAGCTTGTACTCAGATGCTGTGAAAGAGAAAGGAAAACACAAATAAAAAAACTAGAATGTCCAGATGTGCCAATAAGCACATATATAGGTTTCATATGAAGAACACCAATGCATTTCAAATGTGCTACAGTTTTTAAACTTCACCTAATCTAACTTGTTAAATTAGTTGTACAATCACTCCACGCCCAGAGTTTTAGCACGGTGGCAGAATTGCAGAGTTTCTCCCTTTAGACACTGTTTAAGAAATGAAGAGCAAAGCTGCCAAAACAATTGGATCTCAGCATGTCAGAAGCTGCTGATTCGATATCCGTACACAAAGTCACAGCCGTCTTTGGGTGTGTCAGTAGATAAAGCTGGGACGTCATCCAGGTCAGTCTCAGTTCCAGACTTGGCTATCAGAGGCTGACCGCGGCTCTTCATCTTTCTCTGGTACCGAGCCATGAGTGAGGCATACACACAGCCGTAAGTTGCTGCAACAACCATCATTATGCACACTGTGCCACACACCACTCCCGCCACTATTTGTGTGCCATGTGCCCTGCGAACACTGACTGGCCTGTGTCGCTGCCAAACACACTCATCCATGCTGCTGAGCCGCCCTGGTGGACAGGAAGGCTTAGTGGCCTGATTCAATGCAACATCCTTGGTTGGACTTATACAGTACTTGAACATCTCTGCTGGAATGCTACGGATGTCCCTGCCCTTAAGGTTCCCGGGGAAATTGCACTGCATCACATCTACCTGTCCATCTGTAAAACAAAGGGACAGGTGAGAAGACAACATAGCAATGTTGTATCAAACTACTCTCATCGCCTATTTTGGAAATGTTAACCTGCTTACCTCTGTAAATTAACCACTCCATCCAGTTCTTGAAATCCCTCAATTTGCAGTCACATTCCCAATGGTTTCCAGCCAACTGGAGCTGCTGGAGGTTAACTAGAGGCTCAAATGTAACTCTGTCTAGAGTCATAAGTCGATTGTGAGCCAGGGACAACCAGGTGAGTCTCTGAAGCCCATCCAGGAGGCCCTTTGGCAGTAATAGAAGGCTATTAGAGGACAGATCAAGCCCCTGCAGCTGCCACAATCCCTGGAAGACCTCCTTGCTTAAACCATCACTCCCATTCAGTCCGTGGCCAGTCACTGTGCTGTTAGGGAGGTCAGAGGCTGTTACAATAACACCAAAGTAGTTAGAAGAGAGATTTAACCATCGAAGGCTGCTCAGGTCAAGGAAAGCTCTAGGCTGCAAGCTGTGAAAATGATTGTGGGACAGATCCAGGAGCTCCACGTTGCTGAGGTTCAACATGTCGCTGCTACCCAAGGAGGACAGGTTGTTCCGAGAAAGATGGAGCACCAGAGAATCCAAGTCTAGCTGCTTTTGGATGGGCATCAGAGAGACGAGCCCCACAGCAGAGCAGTCAGTTGTGTTGTGGTAGCAGGTGCAGATAGTAGGACAGCCACTGACTGAGCCCAGAAGCCCCAGCAGAACCAGCACCACTCCAGTGGAAGCCTCATAGACTAGGAGACATGAACAAAGGAATGATAACATTCTTAGAAACACTCCTGTGGACAGAGATATTTAAATTATTACAGACTTGTTCTTAGTTTGGAGTTCTAAAACAGTCGAAGGAGTAACTGCATTCCTACAGTGTGAAGGGTAGGTTTATAGAAACTCACCCAAACTCCCATGGTGACTCTGTCCATGCCTCATGTCTTCAGCATTCACTCTGCTGTAAGTGCCGGTTTACATTTGGCTTGTCTTGCTTGGTGCTGGATAACCCTGTCATCCAGGTTTGTAGATCAACTTGAAGAAATAATTAAAGAAAATGTCAAAGTACAATGGGGTTATGAAATTGAAGTAGAATTGAGTTTTTGATTCGGAAAACATGAAAACAGAGGTTTATAAAATCCAGGATGCAGGATACTTTTCATAATATCTGTAGCAGAATGAGTCGCTCTCAGGGGTTTAAGAAATTTCAGTGCTGTACCATGATAGGATGTCACTAGTGGATTAACTACAGTAAAGAGTTTTCCTCACTACTTAAATAATTCATAGTCAACTGTTGATAGTATTACAAAAAATTTGAAGTAACTGGAAACAACTCACCCTTAAGGCAGTAGGACAGGAAAAATTACAGAGCTGGATCAGAAACTGACAGCATAGTTCACTGAGGTCCTCAAATTTCTACACACTCGATAGCTACCAACTTTCAAACTTTGGTTTGAAATCTTCAGACGCATGGAAAGCTTAATTTAACTTGTCATTTAGACTCCAGGACCCTGACAAAAAAACCATAAGCCCTAGCAAAATTTTGCAAACATTTTACGGGAGCAGGCATGTGTATTGTTGAAGAAGATTTTAAGTTATAGTATATTTTTGGGAAATATCTCTG